TGTCTCCATTCGGTCGGATGCATGCGTGCGTCGTGCTGTCTCGTGTCATGTGTTGTACAAGATTCGAGAACTAGGTAACGCCCCTGCCTTGTTGAGGAGGGAAGGAGGCTCTGTGATTGGTAAATTAGTGTACTTGTTGTAAGCGTTTGCTGACAACGGATCGTGTGGGGAAGGGAATGCTAAGGAAAGTAGGAGAGCGATGGCTGGGGTGGGATAGGGAATGAGATGGATGGCTCATAATGGTATGATGGAAAGTTTATTTGCCTTAATAATTATATGAACCGTCATAACAGTGTTACATGCATCCGATTTGGCGAATTCTTACTTTGCAATTTATCGTTACTAATCTACATTTCGCTAATCACTTTCAAGGTAAAGCGAGGATCGTCAAACTACATCAGTTTAAAAAGAAATTCGCCGAAGTAAAGTTAAACTAGGGATCTATAAATGATATGCGGTTTACTTTGGTGATTTGGGTCTTTAACTTCAAGTGTTTGTTAACTAAAATCGTATGCTAATTGTTTGTCTTGCCTATCGCGGTATATATGAAAGCTATGACTTCGGAGCGGCTGATGTGAACGTCTGTGGTGTGGACTCTGTGCTGCGGGTGTCAGGTACGTGAACAACTATCGTGGACAATGTTTGCTTGGCAAATGCATGCATGTTGGGCGTATAGATTGGTATGGAAATGTGGTAGGTGGTTGTGGGGGTTTTATTGCTTCATGACTTCCGTAATATCTGCGCAAAATGCTGGAATAGTTTCATTGGAATTTGACCAAATGCCAATGGCGTAGGTGCTTTGGAGCTGAGGTACTTTGGTGCAGTGTGGTTGAGTTTTTTCATCTCAATGGGCCTATCTTCTTGTAGAATTGAGGTACAGATGCGGGATTTGTTTTTCTATGTTCGCTGTAAGCCTCAGTTTGAGCTCACCACTTTATTGCACTCAAACTATTCATAGTATTGTTAATCAATGTTTGAGACTTTCTAACAAGTGTTTCCGGAAGTCACTAGTGGGAAGAGGTGGCCTTAGT